ATATATGGGTCACACCTCTGGAATTAAACAAAATTAAAAAACAGAAACCAAAATGACTTTTTACGTTTCTCTTCACACAATGTAACATGAAAAATATAAAGAAAACTTTTACTTACGGAGGCATGTAATCTCTCCAGTCCATTCACCGTCAATACATGTTTTGAACGGTCCACCCTCCATGACGTAATAACGCTGACAGATATATTCAACCTTGTCATTATGTTGGTACTGGTATTTGGGTCTTGTTTTTGTGTCTCCATCTGAAAGAGGTGGTGGCCTCCCACAACCCTGGCCAGCTGCAAAAGTGTGAGCAATAGAGAAAAAAAACGTTTAGACAACATTTAGTCACAATAATTTTTTAGTCACGTTTTTATGACATTTTTATACCGTCACATATTATTTTACATTTCAGGTGAAGTATTCATCATGCAATCCGAGTGCAGATCACAGCCTTAAGACTGCTTTGTCTTCCTATATATGTAGTTCTGTTATGCTTAGAAAGCGGTCAGCACTCTTTGTAACTAATGATAAACTGTGTTGTACTGGTATCAAACTCATGTTGCTGTTGAAATGACCTGGTTCTTTGATATATTCATCTACTGCCCTCTCCCACATCTTACAGATCCTATCCTTTTAATTGTTTTAATAATTTTATTGTGAAAAAACTTTTTTTTTTTTAGTTCAAACTCTTCTGTGGTTCGTGTGCGCTCATCAGGTTCTCACATTTCCTCTGACATGTCCATAGCATGTTGTATTTCCCTGTTCCGCCATGTAACCCATGTTAACTGGTGATGAAATGTGTGATGTCTGTGGCAAAGATAGAGGGCCACTTAAAAACACTGAAATCATGGAAAGACAAACCTGACATTAAATCTCTCAAAGTGTGACTTTGGGCAGACTGCAATAGTGTATCTAGGAGAAGTAGTGGGTGGTGAACAAGTGAAACCCATCCACTTAAGAACTGAAGCCATTGTGATGTTCTCAGAGCTGCAGCACAGTTTGGGGATGGTGGGTAATTACAGAGGTTTCTATAAAAACTAATTCTTCTTGTTCGTATTAATATTATTATTATTTAATGATATAACTGCAACTAACCCTGAAGTCTACATTGTGGTGTGTTCAGGTATAATCTTAAATGCACCACATTTCAAACAGTTTTGAGCTACTGTCTGTGTTAGTGAAAACAACTTTTCAACGTCACACTTAACCAACTTCTCAGATTTACTAAACTTCTCAAACTGGTTCCAGCGTCCCTCCACTGGCTGTTTGTTTACTTAGAACATATTTAAAAACTTTGTGTGCAACAAAAGGGAAATGTAACTCACGGCGGCATCTCATCTCTCCAACCCAATCACCATCGACACAGGTTTTGAACGGCCCACCCTCCATGCCGTAGTCTCTGTCACACACATATTCAACCTTTTCATTGTGTCTGTACATGTTTCTAGCCCATGTTTTGGTCCGTCCATCTGAAAGACGTGGTGGCGTCCTACATTGCTTGGCAGCTAAAAATTGTGGGCAATAACAGAGGAAAAACCAACATTAGATACTATTTTGTCACAATAATCACATTTTAACTCTGACCTGCTGTCATGCATCATTTTTCATTTGAAGTGAAATATTTGTCATACACCCTGTGCATCACTCTCCTTTACCTTAACACTGTGTGGCCATCTGTGACAAAGAATTAACCAGAAACAATGTTCACACAAACTAATTAGCACAAGAGCAGATCAGGCAGAGGACATTTTACTGATAACCTGAAATGTGTTTTTACCTCAAAACAAACTATTAATTTCTGGTTTAAAGTGTGTGTAACTTACACTCATTCACACGACACACAAAGAAATACCAAAAAAAGCAATAGCAATCTTTTTCCATCCTTTGTACTGATAAACAGTAAGATCACAAGAGGACAAGTGATGTACCTTCACATCTGGGAACAGGATTGCTCCAGTGTCCATTTTCCAAACATTCAAGCGTTGCATTCCCTTTGATGATGTGATTACTGTTTTTACAAGCAAATGTTAGATGTTGTCCTTTTTTCATTTGATCGTCTGTTACATCTGTGGTGATTGTTAGAGCTGCTGGTGTTTCAGGGACTCTACATTTCTCTGTTTTGAAAAAGAGAATCTGTTTTACTATGAGGTTTACATTATAAACATGAAACCAAATCAGATTTAAAGTAATAAGACACTTTTTCACTACATTTTCAAACTAAGCAAGTTTTTCTTTAAATATTTATTATTAATAGGCATTCAGTTTCTCATTGCTGTAATGGAGATGTAATCAATGTCCAGTCTTTTAGATAACTCTTTATTGTCATTGCAGAGTCATACTAAGTACAGCACTACAATGAAATTGGAAATCTGTCCTATGTTGGCACTAAATATAACTAAAGAAAGATGAATAAAGATGAAATATGCCAGCAGGCAGAGTGACAGCCAGCAGTGTTTTTAACTTTTAAGACTCCAGTTTTAAATCTTATTCACCGCAATAGTTTATTTTCATGTACGTACGTATACACTGAATATTGAGCTCCTTCCATTTCTCAGCTGTGCATTTAATCGTGGCTTCTCCTTCTAGTTAAGCACTGATAAGTTACTTTAGAGTCAGATTCAGTATTCCCTATAATAAGGAGTTAGTAGTAACTCAATGGTCATAAATGTATTTGTCCCTTGTATTCATGATCTAAGCTCTAGTGCTGTGTAAAAGTAAATATAAACAGAATGCAATGATTTAAAAATTTCATGAACCCAGATTTTTTCACAATAAAACATAAAACATTTGTCTTAGATATCCTATATAACCTTCCTTTAAGACTGCTTTGTCAAATAAACTGCCAATTCTGACTCAAACAGCCCACTGAACGACTGATATTACTTATGATCTCTCCTATTGATATATATCCTTCTGTTATGCTCAGAAAGTGGTTAGCACTCATTGTAACTAATGATAAACTGTGTTGGACAGGTATCAAATTTATGTTTGAGATTTCTAATTAATTCCCTCCTCACAGTCCTGCCAAATGTTGTAAAGGAAACGTTGCTGCTGCAATTATCTGCTTTATTTGTTTATTCGTCTACTGCCATCTCCCACATCTAACTCATTCAGATCCCATTCTTCTAATTCTTCTTATTTTTATAAGAAGTAATAATTCCTAATGATTAAATTAAATTAAATTAAATTAAATTGTATTTATATAGCGCCAAAATCACAACAAAAGTCGCCTCAAGGCACAAATTGTGATTTGTGATTTGTTGTGATCATTGATTTGGCTCAATGATGTTTTTTTTTGTTCAAGGTCAGCTAAGTAAAAGCTGCGGTGCCCTTGTGCTCGAACACCAAATAAATAGTTCCTACCTTGCAACAGTTAGCTTTATCAAGAAGAGCAATATATCACAAATGAATGTGAACAATCACATTTATCCTGAACATTCTTACCTCTACATTCATTAGAGCCATGCAGGCCATCTTCCCTAAAGATTGGAGTGAAACTTCCTTCAGAACCTCTCTTGCATTTATACTGGACACTATTATCTTTCTTTTATCCCGAATAAATTTTCACAATAATATTGTGAGTAGACTGGCTCTAATATGGTGCATTTCTTCTCTATGTGAGCACTCACTATACTTAATACAACATGCATCGTTCATTTATTGACAGACAAGTTTTGAAAAGATGTGCAGTTATTCACAAGATTTTTTAAATCATATTTTTGCAAATACATGAAATAAAAGAAATAAAACCAGAATTTGAAGAAAAACAAGCTACACCTCATAATACCTTGACAAAGTGGATTTGGTTTCCATCCATCTCTGGTGCATGTGGCCCAGGGAGCGCCATCTGTACTCCTGTAGTCTGATCCACATGTGTAACTGACAGTGTCGCCCAGTCTTTGTTGTTGCCCAGAATCACCCCAGTAATCCAAATACAGAGCTTGTGGATGGCTACATGTAACCTCTAGAAAGAGATATAGACTAACTAATAGGGGCAGATCATCTTCATGTATAAATGAACCGCTGCAAAGCAAGAAACCTTAACCTTGAAATATGTGTATAAAGCAGATGCGGTTTTATACCTTCACACACTGCTCTGATAGCCCAGTCTCCGTCATTTTTGCAAGTAGTCTCAGCTGAGGTGGTCTGAGTGTTCAGAATCCAGTAAGCCTCCCCACATGTAATTCTTATCTTCTCACTGGGAGAAAACAAACTTCTATAAGCAGGTTCATATGTGGTTCCTCTGAGTGGTGGAAGAATCAGTTGACATTTTATTTCTGAAATTGTTGAAAGATGAGGCATTTTGACCATTAGTATGTTATAATAAAAGATGCAGTTTGTTAAATGAGATTTGAAGGGCAATTGTGAGTGTGACAGGAACAAACACACAGACACACGCACAATATAAACAAATTCCCCTCTTGCCCCCCACGGTCATCTACTAAAGGCCTGGGTACTTGAGGGTCCTGCTCAGTGTCTTAGCTGTTCCTAGGACTGCACGCTTCTAGACAGAGATCTCGGATGTTGTTCCTTGGATATGCTTGAGCCACTAGGCCAGCTATGGGGTCACTGCAGTGAGCGCTCCGATTACCGCTGGGACCACTGTTACCTTCACCCTCCACATCTTCTTGAAATAAAAACTCAGCAATTGTGGGTCTTGCTGCCATATCATCTTAAATCAATCATGTGATTTAGACGCACCAGCATGTCTGGCAACTAGTGGGTTAAATGACTAAAATCCTTCCAGGTTTTCATGAGTTTTGCTTTCAGCCTTTTTCTCCATGGAGGCTGGCGTCTACATGAAAGTTTTATGTGGTTCTATTAAATTAAATAACGTGCATCGCCACTTTTGATTATAAATATTAAATATAAACAATAAAAATAAGAATCTATGTCAGCTGTATGATGTGATGACGTCTTTCATTTTGCATAAAACTATTCTTAAACAAATGTCGTTTCTGACACAACTCCAAAAAGGATTTGTGTCTTCACCTGGGAGAGCTGAGTGAATGTGCAAAGCACTGCATTAAAATGAATAAATGTGTCATTGACTAATTAAAAGGCTGATTTCGATCCACTGTTTAAACATCTGTTTGTTACTGTAAACTATTATTAAGACAGAAACTAGTAATAAGACTTTCTTACCATTCTGCTGTAAAGATTCATTTGGATTCAGCCACAGGAGAAAAAGCCAAGGAAGGCCAAAGAGTCTCATTATTCAAATCAGGGATTGCTGTGTTCAGGAAATACTGCCTAAGAAGTCATTCACCTCCACACTTACACAGACTGAACTCTTTTACCACATGAATATGTGCATGCTGTGAAACTTACTCAGGGACACTGGCATTTAACCCTTCCACCTGA